TTTGCATTCCCACCAACAGTGTAAGAGGGTTCCCTTTTCTCCACACCCTCTCCAGCATTTATTGCTTGTAGACTTTTGGATAGCAGCCATCCTGACTGGCGTGTAATGGTACCTCATTGAGGTGCAATATTGATCTTAACAGCATCAGACTTTACTTCCATCGCCAGTCACATCCACAGCTGGGTGTTGTTTTTGCTTTGCTCCGTCTCTTCATTCTTTCTGGAGTTGTTTCTCCACTCTTCTCCAGTAGATACTGGGCACCTAGTGACCTGGGGAGCTCCTCTCTCAGTGTGGTATCTTTTTACCTTTTCCAGCTGTTCATGGAAGGTTCCTGACTAAGTGACTGTTCTGATCCTAACCGTCCACTCTCTATCTCAGGTGGGAGCTACCTCTTGTTTGAAAAATTTTCAGGGAGGTGTCAGCAGGAGGAATATTTGGAAGCAGGATGAGAGAGGGTACATACCCCCTGGCAGCCAGGCAAAGAGTAAAGACCAAACGTCAGCTGTTGAAGGTTTATCAGCCCTTTCATCCTAAATTAGACAGATGGCATTCCTTTACTCTGTTGTAGATGGAAGCTCAAGCTAGGAATGTGATACATTTGTGACTGCTTGAGCACAGTGTATTTTATCAAAAGCACTTAACTTTATTAAAAATTTGCAACTGTTTTTCTACTTATGAATAGCCAGGCTATGAAATAACATCTCTGGCATCCGCAGTAGGAAAAATCACTGGAATTAAGAGTAGGGAAATTCCAGTTTTGAGTTCCAGTTCTGATAGCAAGAAAATTCCAGCCTCTGCTTGTCTACAAGATCAAGGGGTTAACACCTTCCCCATGGGGCTGTGGGCATATAGCATGCATATGTCAGACCTACGTAAGCTGTTGCATCAAGGCTAGGTATTTCTACTTGCAGGCATTGGCCTGGCGACTTATCCTTGAAAATTTAGTTTTAATATGCTTTCTGAAAAGTATAAATACAGTATGAAGAGTCAAGTAATGGAATAACTGGCTTTCAAGACTCCCAATAAAAGAAGGAATTGTAACTCTTCTCTTAGAATTAAGATAGCCTGCTATCATTTGAGAACTTAAGTAGTAGGTTTCAAGCCTGTCGGTTTCTAGAATTATACCTATCTCTCCCTCTAAAGGGGTCATTCAGTAAATTTGTCTTTACAAGCCAAATGTGAAACTTGTGTGTGTTTATCCCAAAATCAAAACAACTGCTCATGGAAATTAAAGTGCTTAACATAAACTTAACTTTAAGCGTTGGTTTCTTTCCAATAATGAGGCACATCCTGGTAAATGCTCCCCAAGAAGACATTACAACTGGTATATAATTAACTAATGCCTAGTATTTTTAGTCAGAATTTTAAATCCTCCATTTTCCCTTTTCTGAATCTGTTTAGGAGGGGGAAAAATTTAACTTGTAACTATCAAAATACATCTTATTCAAAGAAATAATAGTACCATTTCTCTTAAGACCCTTGTCCTCAGTTTATTAGGGTCAGAAATTTAATTTGTTCTTGTCAGCAAAGGTGCTATAAGTTTATGTCTATTTTATAGAAAGAGAGCTCTAAAACTCTGTGGGATCTCTGAGGCCTGTACAAAGAGGCATGGATTACAATGCAGGGGGCAAAGCCTCCACCTCCAAATAACTAGACTTGGATTTCTTTTAAATTTTTAGGTGGCCCAGTGTCACTTCTTTCACAATCATAAAACGACTTCATAAATATGAATCTTTTATTATGAAAATTGCTGTTACATTACAGCCAACATTCCAAAACAGTATTTTAATAAACACTTGTCTTGATTATAAAGTAGAGCAGAAACCATGATCCTTTTTCAAAATCGATTAACATCTGCAGATGTTACCATGAAGCAGAAGGGGGACACTCCAAACGCTCAGCCTGGAGTGGAGGAGATGAGATGGGGAAGAGCACCTATGTCATCCAGAATAGCTACTAGTGTTGTTTGTACAGTGTAAACCAACCACTTACAACAGGACATTTAAAAACGGTGAAAAGCAAAACAATAAAAGGCTGAGGTGTCACAATACTTTTGAGATGGGGAAAGCCAAAGTGAGTTTCCTTTTCCTTCCCCTCTGTGAGTTCAGTGCAAGGTACAGGGAAGAACCACAATACTAGGCCAAGGATGGATGCAGTTCTTTGCTTCCATATTTCCCAGTCTCCAGTCCTATTCTAAAAACAGCCTGCATGCAAAAGCCCTTCAGGCTTTCACAGATCCTGGAACACAGCATTTGCACGCGGATGAATGAGGTTCCACAGCAGCTCAGAGTCAGTGTCTGAATTCCAGTGTATCCACTCTGGAGCACTGTAAGGAATCCAAGAACACAATTCCTATGTTCTTTCTCATCGGGAGGCAGCAGACTCCTATTTGGGTGTGCTCTATGTTTGGGGTCAGGGTGTAGAAGTAGTAACTGCACAGAACCTTGCCATCACGAATAAATGCCCTGGTGGAAAAACTTAGAAAAAGTTAAAATTGCAGTTTAAAAGTTCCTCTTTCCCCTCCCCTCAGCAAAGAAGCATGGTGCACACATGATTGCAAGGAATTTTGGAAGGCATAGTGTGGCTACTATAGTTTCAAGTACAAAGTGTTCCTTGCAAAGGGGCCTGGGGTGACTGAGGGCAAACCAGAAACTCAAAAACATTCATCAACCTCTTTAATGTAAGAAGCCACACTGAGAATTTTGTCCTACAAGTTCATGAGCTGGCATACTCTTTACCATAGGAAGGGATAGCCTCGTTTTTCCAACAGCAGATGTATGACACTTGGGAAACCTAACACAGGCCAGGGACTGGTCTAATCTGATTTCTACCTCCTTTTCCGCCCTCCCTTTCCACCATACAGTCTTTTATTCTGGGCTCAGAGCTCCAACCACTAGCAAGGCTCAGAAATAACAACCATAATAATACAATGTCCTAATTTCAACACTGTTCTTTTTGCTGCTCCAGGAAGACACCAGATGGTGCTGAAACACTGAACAGATAAGCCAGTTGTCAAGCTGTTCGGCAGCCTAGTTAAGCTTCTCACGCTGGATCTGGTAGTAACATGCCTGAAAGAAAAGTTCAAAACCATTTAAAATTTACTTTAAAAGAAATTACATAAACATAACAATGCACATGGGACTAAGAAAGGAACTCCTTTACGAATACTGAGCGCTCAACAATATCAGCTGCTTTCATATTTTCCCCTATTTTCTTCCAGTCCCCCTATCCTATCTCATGTCTACTTTGCCTAGTTATTAATTAGTAGAAATAAAACTTTGTAAAATTCTAATTCTAAAACAGACAAAAAAATTTTTTCCAAGCTGTTTAACATCTGTCATTAAGTAGAAATACCTTAATTTGCTAAGCCACTGCTGACCAGACATTTAGAATATGCTGATAATCAGTATAAGGTATAAAAACAAGTGTAATCAGAATCACCAATATGTTTGATAAACACACAGGTTGATATTAAGCATCATTCCAGACCTACTGAGTCAGAGGATTGGATAACTTGCTTTAGTATTTTGAGACTGACCGTTTCTACTTTTCTTTAATATAGTATATATTTTAAAATATTAACAATATGTGCTCCAAAGGCACTTAATGTTTGTATTAAAGTTTTATATAAAAGAAAGTGGTTAATGAAAGAGTCACAATATGGCAAATGAAGGAGAGATTTTAACATAATAAAATATTAAATAATATCTATACTTTACCTTCAGAGTAGTGAACATTATACCCTGTTCTCCATGCTGAAGATATGGGTCCATTAGATCCTCAATGAGGTGTACCTCAGAGCCTAAATTCCTAATCCTGCCCCAACGAGAAAGAGATATTGAGTTACTTCTGCTTATATGTACGTCCTACTTCTGAATCTATTTAAGTCAGAAGAGATTGGTCACCTGGCCCGGAGCACCACATATAAGAAAACAGGGAATAAGTCATCCATGGACCACAGGAAGTCTTCCTGAAGTGACGCCAGGACACTCTGAGAGATCTCTTCAAAAGTCTGCTGGATGACTTTCAGTTTGTCTGATGGGGTAAACGTTGTGCTGTTGTAAAAAAAAAAAAAAAAATTAAAAACTAAAAATAAATGACAAAATATAGCCTCGGAGCCAGTAACATCGATGGAGATGAAGTCTACTTATCTGTTGACCTGAAAAGATGCCCTAGTCTATTGTTCTGTTTAAAAAAAAAAAAAAAGGAAGAAAGCAGGTCTTAAAACTATTGGAAAAGACCCTGATGCTGGGTAAGATTGAGGGCAGGAGGAAAAGGCGGCGACAGAGGGCGAGATGGTTAGACGGCATCACTGACGGGACATGAGTTTGCGCAAACTCCAGGACATGGTGAAGGACAGGAAAGCCTGGCGCCTGCAGTGTATCAGGTCACAGAGTCAGACACAACTTAGCAACTGAACAACAACAAAAAAACAGTAAGAAAACCTTTTATTAATGAAAGAAAATATTCTCTATGTATCTAATCATAGAAAAAAGGATATTTGCCAAGATGCTAACAGATGATTTTTGTTGTCTTGGCTTATCTGTGTTTTCTCTTTTTCTCAATGAACGTCAATTACCCACATAATTTTAAAAAGCAATAAAAATAAACCAATCCCAGACTGATTGTACATCTTCCTGTCTTCATCCCTACGCCCAACAGCTCTCCAAAAAAATCATCACAGATCCATAACTCTGGACCTTCCCTTCTCTCTCCTGTCATTTCCACATCTCAGCAGGTATGTGCTGGGTTGGGGTTGAAGGGAAGAGTCCTACCTGCTCCAGGAAGACTTCCCCTGACTAATGGGAGGTGTGGAGGCTTGGCCCAGGTGGCCTTTTCTCTCTGACCCAGCCCTGCCCAGAAGCAGTGCCCCAAGGCCCTCTTCCCTTCCTTGGTCAAGGCCCTCTTCCCTTCCTTGGTGCCCTTTCAGGAGGAGGAAATGCTCCATTTTCCACTGCAGTGTTGGCTTCAGGCTGAGCCCACTTCCCCGAGGCCGAGATCCTCAGAGGCAGCCCCCCCGCCCCCATAATCACGTGGACAGGAGCCCCAAGGCAAATGGCTCCACCGCCGAGAGGTGATCCTGGCAAAATGAAGGAGGGAAAAGAAGTCACAGAAGCTCCTGATCACCAGAAAAGAAAGAGCCATGCTTCAGGATGGGGCTCTGTGGGCCCCTTCCAGCAGGATCTGAGGGAAACGGGGAAGGAGATAGAAACAGAGCTTCCTGAGCACTAACCACATGCACATGGTGGACCCTCCAAAGACGCTGTCCACCCCCTCCCTTTGTGCAGGTGGGGGTGACAAGGCACCTGAGCCTCAGCTTCCGACATCTCTGGGGCTTCAACCCAAGTCTCACATCAGGGTAGGCTCCGAAAAAGGCCTTTGGTTGGAGAAATTAGTGTTTGTGGGCAGCTTCTCCCACCCCTCCCCGACCATGTTAGCCACTGCCCAGGCTCCCCAAGAGCCACAGACACCCCTCTCCAGGACAGGGGGTAGTAAAGAGCAGCTAGGACTGAGCATTTTCCCCAGAGGGCCAGATCTCTGAGCGCCTGCTACTTTAATGATGAAGATGGCTAATGTCCTCGTTCTGGCCGTTAGAATAGCAGCCATCAGCAAGGCACCCTAGAGGGTCCTGAGAGCTGGCCGGCCACCCAGAAGAATCCAGGGTTCAAGGCAAAGGAAGAGGACATTTAGTCCCTGAACCCCGTCTTCAAATCACATTCCCAGAGGTGACCATCACCAGGGACCCAGAAACCAGGCTCCCACGCCCTCCAGTCAGCTCATACACACACAGGACAAATGCAGCGGTTGGTGTATCTGATTGAGAGGAGGAGACCCTCTCTGATACTGTTCCAGCTCTGAACCTAGCCACCTGGGTCAAGTCATTCCTGCCGCCATAGCTCCCCTTCCACTTCCACAGTGTTGTAGGGTCAATAAGGGTTTCAAAGAGTGTTGCTGAAGAATGCTCAGCCCCTGGCAGCATCTCCTCCCTGCATGGGGGTCTCGGAATGAGTTTCACGCCCTGAGCACCTGGGTTTGTGGGCAGGGGTGGTTCAGATGGTAAAGAATCTGCCTGCAGTGCAGGAGACCCAGGTTTGATCCCTGGGTCAGGAGGATCCCCTGGAGAAGGGAATGACAACCCACTCCAGTATTCTTGCCTGGAGAATTCCATGGACAGAGAAACCTGCTGGGTTACAGTCCTCGGGGTCGTGAACAGTGGGGACACGACTGAGCGACTCTCACGATAGAAGCATGATTCGTAGCGACACCCTGTGGATACAGTGGGTAACTGCACCCACTTGGACGAAAGCCACAGGACGACATCCAACTTTCTTCATTATGTGGAAAGGAGCTGATTGCAATTAATCAGGCTCATCAGAGTGGACTTGAAGGGCTTTAGGGTTCAATAGGCCTGGGTTGGAGTCAGGTCTCTGCCTCTCTTGCCTTGGAGGGTGCTGTGAAGATTAGAGAAATCATCTGATGCTGAGTAGATGCTCCAGAAATAGTGGCTATTCTCAACTGTATGGTGTGCAATTTGACCTTGGGAGGAGCCAGCCTGGAAGATTCCTGAGGTGGCAAATTCTAATTCGACCTCTTTAGAAAACACCACTACTAAGAAGGGCTGGGATGGGGCTTCCCTCGTGGCTCAGGGGTAAAGAATCCACCTGCCAATGCAGGAGACATGGGTTCGGTCCCTGATAGGGGAAGATCCCACGTGCCTTGGAGCAACTGAGCCTGTGTGTCACAACTAGTGATCTTGAGCTTTAGAGCCTGGAAGCCGATGTTCCACAGCAAAAGAAGCCCGAGGACTGCCACTAGAGAGTAGCTGCCGCTCTCCGCAACTAGAGAAAGCCAGAGCAGCAATGAAGACCCAGCATGGCCAAAAATTAATAAATGAAATTTTTAAAAAAAGAAGGGCTAAGATGAAGGTGAGGGCCAGCCTTCTCATCCTTAGGCTTGTGCTGGTTCAGACGGAGCAGCTCATGCGTCATGGTTCAAAAGATCCCCAAAGGGAGTGACTTAACCAAGCTGGCAGAGCAGACATGAGATCCATAACTTTGGGCCCCATCTTTCCACAGAGACCACATTATGCAAAAAGCTGTCCCAGCAGGATTCAAGTCCATGCCTCCAGGTATCTGCAGAAACTCTGGTGCTCTGAACCAGTCTGTGCCCTATCTGTGGCACTTTGTTACGGCAGCTCGAAGAAACTAACATGGTCATAAGAGACATCGTGACCTCCCCTTGCTCTCCCCTGGACCACTCGTCCTGTGGGAAGCCAGCTGCCGTGTCATGGGGCTACTCGAGCAGACCTATGGGCGGTCCGCGTGGCAAGGATCTGAGGCCTCCTGTCAACATCCAGCACCAACTTGGCACCATGTGAACGAGCCTCCTAAGAAGCAGATCCGATAGCCCCAGTCAAGCTTTCAGATGACTGCAGCCCCCAGTGACATCTGACTGCTACCTCCTAAGAAGCCTGGAGCCAGAACACCCAGTTAAACCTTTCCACCATCCCTGGCCTACAGAAACTGTGAGATGATAGATGTTTATTATAGTTTGAAATCACTAAGTATTAGAGTAATATCTACTACACAGCAATAGATAGCTAATACTGATATTTATTGTATTGGAGCCTCAGTATAACCTGAAACAGATAGGGTTACATGTCTTTAATATTAGTCATTGGATTTAGGGCCTGAGCTAATCCATTACAACCTTTAATTACATCTGTAAAGACCCTATTCCCAAATAAGGTCATATTCACAAGTACAAGGCAGGATTAGGGCTTCAGTATATCCTTCTGGGGTATACAGCTGGCCCACAGCAATGACCTAACCTTGCAAGTCACATATCTTCATTTCTGTAGTAGCCAGGGGGTACAAGGGTCAGCCCTATGCAGTGCGGGAGGAGACCACACAGGGGGTGACTATCAGGAGGTGAGGATAACTGGGGGCCATCCTGGAGGCTGGCTCTCAGGACATCAGATGGAAGACTCAGCCTGAGACACACTCCCATGTATAGTATCCACTAGGAAACAATGGGAAACCAGTTGCACATCACTTGGGTCTCCCCTACGGTCAAGAGTATAAAAAGGGGTGAACTCCCTGGTAGTCCAGAAGTTAGGACTCAAAGTTTCCACTGCCAAGGGCACGGGTTCAATCCCTGGTCAGGGAACAAAGATCCCACAAGCCACGCAGTGCAGCCAAAAAATAAAAATTACAAAGGGTAGAGTGAGAGAACAGAAGGATCTGGACATAGAAATTGAGAGAGTAAAGCTATGTTGAAAGCTCCACCCCAATGGAGCTGGGGACCCTACCACCTCGATCTTAAGTCTCCTGGTGTGGGTTCCACAGGCCATTCAGAGCCGGGGGCCCCTAAAGGCCTGTGCCAAGAGGAGGGGCTGTCCTGGACTGGGCAGGGGCCCTGTGAGTGCTTCCCCATGGGCCTCTGGGGAGAGAGGCCCAGCGAGGCATCATTTGAGGTCCTGTAGCGCCTCCTACTGGGCAGAAAGAAGGCGGAGGCGGCTGCTGGATTCTTGAAGCTGAAGATGGACATCACCGGCCATTACCTGGACCAGAGATGCAGGTTGGGAACCTCAGAGATGGAAATCTCTGGAGCACCCACGGGACTCCCTGGGAAACAGCATTCGTCATCTGCCAGGCTCAGAGAGCTGGCAATTCTGCGGTCACGGAAGAATTGCTGGGGATATCCTGGTGGCTCAGTGGTGAAGCAACCACCTGCCAGTGTAGGAGACGCAGGTTCGATCCCTGGTCCGGGAGGACCCCACATGCTGCGGAGCAGCTAAGCCATGCCCCACAGTTACTGATGCCCGCAAGCTCAGAGACTGTGCTCTGCAACGAGAGAAGACCTGGCACAATTGAAAAATGAATAACACTTTTGAAAAAGTTTCTTAAAAAAAAAAAAGAATTGACCTATTCTTCCGTTCTCTCCCTTCTGCCCCCCCACCATTCGCCTCTCTCCATTAGGCCCTGCAAGCCGCCAGCACGTGGGGAGCGGAGGCTGTCAGGTGAGAAAACAGAGCACTCCCACAGCCAAGTC